AGCTGAGTTTCTTCCAGTTAAGTGGGTATGACACATTCATAGTTTGTTAAATGTTAAGAAGCTCTGAGACACAGTTTCGTGAAAAAAAAGCCCGGTAGCCCCGTCTTAACAGGTTACATTGCAAACAAGATGGCCTGGAAATGATGAAAGCATTATGGTTTGATCAAATGGAAAATGTGGTGGGGAAGCATCTCAAATGTTATTTTAGGGGCATTGCATGAGAACAGTAGTAGACTGTAAATATAACCCAACTTATAAGACGCAGCTTATATCATAATACGAACGTGTCTCCATTTTGTGGCTTTAATTATTTAGATGCAATCACTGAAATAACTAGGTGATCAAAATACTGTGTGTAACACCTCTCTATTTTATACACACTGTTGGAGATAAATGTTCAAACTGGAGCCACAGACCACGAGGAGACAAGAGTTGTAATTTCTTTGCGTTTGTGTTTAATACGTGTTATCTCACTGTTCAGATCCTTCTGGTGCACAAGCTGGACGGCCACAACAGCCTGAGCTACGTGTGTGTGTTCGTGCCTCTGTGGCTCTCGCTGCTCACACTCATGGCCACCACCTTTGGTCAGAAGGGAGGAAACCACTGTGAGTGTCTACAGAATGAACAGATCCTTTACTCAAGTAGAAGTACAGATACTCGTGTTCAAAGATACTCTGGTGAAAGTAGAAGTACTGACTAAACTTCTTTACTCAAGTCAAAGTAAAGAGGCTTTGAAATGTACTTCAGTAAAAAGTACCCATAACAGCAGCTGTTTTAAAGAGTACCTGACCTCCCTTTATATTAATAGAACAATAATGTCATTGTTAACTAATGAATGTTTCCATGCTGAACAACGGCAACATGACAACGTTTTCATTGGTCCCTCTTCTTTAGAGAAGACCAGGAAATGATGGATACACGGATCGTGTTCAAATCAATAGGCACGCAATGACTCTAAATAATAATGATCACGCCACCAAACACACATTCAGACTAAAGGAACCAGCCTGTTTGGGAAATGTGAGAAGTAGAAAGTACAGGTATTTGAGTTCAACATGTAAGAAGTAGAAAGTACAGGTATTTGTGTTCAACATGTAAGAAGTAGAAAGTACAGGTATTTGTGTTCAACATGTAAGAAGTAGAAAGTACAGGTATTTGTGTTCAACATGTAAGAAGTAGAAAGTACAGGTATTTGTGTTCAACATGTAAGAAGTAGAAAGTATCAGGTATTTGGGTTCAACATGTAAGAAGTAGAAAGTACAGGTATTTGTGTTCAAAATGTAAGAAGTCAAAGTAAAAAGTTGTCAGAAAATGAAGTATTGGAGTAAAGTACTGATACCAGAAACATGTACTTCAGTACAGTAACAAAGTATTTGTACTCCTCTGAATATATTTCATTATTTCCCCTCTGTTAACTCTTCCTGTCGTGATGTTTCCCACAGGGTGGTTCGGCATCCGTAAGGACTTCTGCCACTTCCTGTTGGAGCTCCTCCCCTTCCTGCGTGAGTACGGCAACGTGTCCTACGACCTGCAGCGCAGCGAGGACCCCGAGGCGGCGGAGGACCTGCCCGTCCCCGAGCCGCCGCCCAAAATCGCTCCCATGTTCCACAAAAAGACGGGCGTGGTGATCACTCAGAGCCCCGGGAAGTACTTTGTCCCGCCGCCTAAACTCTGCATCGACATGCCCGACTAAACTCATTTAAGCGAAGACTTCTGGACTCATGGAGCGAGGACATTTACCTGAAGATGCTCCTTTACCTAAACTCTTTTCCAGAGCAACACATCGGAGCCTAAATGGGGAAAATGTGGATCCAGAATCTTCTTATATTTTGACGTTAAGACCACCCTGCTTAAATCTGTTGAGGATATGGACCCTAAAGGAAGTCTTCAGATTCTCTGGGATTTAAACTTTTACTCATGAGAGATGACGGATCGACGTGGATTAGCTTATTTGACTTTTTTAGCGAATCGAAAGCAAAGATGGCGCTTGTCTTGCTTCGTGATGGGGACCATTGGAGAGCTTGAATTGGGGGTCTCTTTTCACCCGAAAAAAGAGGGAAGTGGAGTTAAAAAAGTATGTTTTCCAGGTCTGTTTTAGTTCAATACTTCCACACACACGTATACAAATTAAGAATTATTCGTCTTTAAATCATTCTGTGTGACTATTGTCTTAAAACACACCTGAAAAAAAAAACCTCCTTTTAGATGAGAATGATAGAAATGGCACTTTGTTAGTCAACATGAGTCCTGTCTGAACCGACATTTCTTTTGTATTCCTGTTTATTTTTGTTGTTGTAAATAACAAACGATGTCACGTTAGGGACCAGAGTGGAGATGGCAGGGTTGAAGACTAGAAAAAAATTGCGAACAATCACCCCCCCCTTTATTCTTATTCAACTTGTAAGAGTCAACAGAATAAATAAATACCTTAAAATAAGCCTTTTTTTAAAGGTTTTCTTATGTGGATGATTTACCGTGCAGCTTTCACAGTATTGTTTATTATTATTATAGCAGACTGTAGAGGATTAAAAAAGCTTTGCATTGCCCCTTTAGACCAATTCAAATCCTACACATCAGCTTTCCCTGGCTCACACAAGAACAACTAAATACTCTTTTACATCCAAATCTTCTTACTAGTACATATAACACCTGTATGTGTTTGCACATTGCCTAGACCCTCCAGAAAAACGCGGGCAAAATTCCTTGATTATGCGAAACATGCGGGGTTTTTATGTGATTTTATGCGGAGAGTTGCGAAATATGCGGGAAAAAAGAATAACAATTTTTTTAAATATTGGGCTGTCTTATTTATTCTCTCTCACACACAACCTGCCACTAACGTTAAACCCCTTTACTATTCAATTAAACACATTCAATGTTTATTTATTGTAAAAGCAATTGGGCTATTTTAGCCCCCCCCCCCACACACTTCTCCGCCTCATTCTGTTTTCATTTACTCGTTCGTTATTGCGTGTTCAACATTTGTAGGCTACTCACTTCGTTTCTTGTAGCCCTCGAAAGGGTTTTGGAGGTTGATGCCTCGTGAACGTGAGTTGTTTGGCTTTCTTGTCCGCAGCAGCAGAAAGCATTTTCGAATGTTTGAATGAATCAAAGTGGGTCGCCACCGTCGATGTTCTCTTATGCTCCAACACACAGTTGCACGGGGTGCAGAATAGTTTCCCCCCACTTTTTGCCCGGTCTTTAAAAGAAATGTTCGTCGGTAAATGAGATGGATTAGATATTTTCATCTTGGTGTTTTCTCTATCGTGTGAGCTCCACACGTTCACTCTATACAGTGTTGTTTACATTCTGTGATGCGCGAGCTGATAACGTCACGTCAAGACGAGTAAACTTTTTTTTCCTCAACTTTGTGTGTAAAAATGCGGGGATTATGCGGCCTTTT